GAAGACCGATAGAGAAATATCTCCAGGTTTGCAAATGTGAACATGATTATTTGTTTTACCAAGAAGGAATGTAGAATTAATTATCTTTTCATGAATACCCAAAGCAGAAAGAGCATGGTTCACATATAAAGCCCGAGTCGTCATTAGCATTGAACTATCCCTGGCGCACGCCTGTAATCTCAGCACTTGAGAGGCTGAGGCAGGAGGATCGCTGTGAGTTCAAGGCCAGTGAGTTTGAGGCCAGCCTGAACCACAACAGCAAGACCCTGTCTCTAAAACAAACAAAAATTGAATATCCCTAAAAGTTCTTGCCTATCTGTCTGTGGTTCTTTGTCCTGGTCACTAAACATCACAGCTAAGTGCATCACATACCTCACTACGAGCTTTTAAAGTACTTTTAGTTTCCTTTGCTTTTCGCTTGCTGCTTATTTCCCCACTCGTGCTGGTGTCCACTTTTGAGTGGGATGGACTAAAACTATCACTGTTGGTACATTTCCGTCTCTAGGCCGGCGTCAATCTCTCTATTTTTATAGAGTGGACGATTGAGCTGTGAATTGAAAAACCCGGTCACTGTGAGGCAAACCCTGCACACTTTCCTTCTCAGGGTCACCACCCAGCTGGTTGACTTCCATCAAGAAGGCTTCCAAGGGCTGGGGATGTAGCGCCTGCCTCACAAGCGTAAGGTCCTGAGTTTGATCCCTGGCACGGGGTGGTAGGGAAGGCCTTCAAGATAGCGTGTAAAGAAAAATAATGGTGGGCAAGGATTGTTAGCGACCAGGTTTTTCCACTGAAAGTGTGAGCTGCTAACCCAGGCACAAAGAGCTTCCTCCAAGAGTTCACCACAAGGCTGGCCCCTCTTTCATGTACACCAGGGTGACGGGGTGAGCTCGGAGGTGGAACACTTGCCTACTTTGTGCGAGACCCTGGTCCCATTAAACACCCAGCCTGAGCCAGGCACAGTGACTCATGCCAGTCCGCCTCTCGGGAGGCTGAGGCAGGATGATCTCTGAGTCTGAGGCCAGCCTGGACTCATAGTGAAACCCTGTCTCAAAAGTCAGTCGGGCCAGGGATTTAGCTCAGTGGTTCTGCCGCCTGCCTCACAAGCAGAAGGACCCAAGTTTGATCCCTGGTACAAAAACAAAACAAAACAAAACAAAATCAATCAAAACAAAGCTCCAGGTGCGGGTAAAAGCTCTTGCAAGCCAAGAAAACTATCAGGATGTTTCTCAGCACAAGTTGACTTGTCTCTCTTCCCTAGTCCTAACCTGCCTTCTCGGTCTTCCATTTGTTCCTTTTTCTTCAAGGATCCTGGTATCCGTCCCTGGTCAGTACCACGCGTCGCTGCTTAGGTTTTCCAAATTCAGAGGAAAGATGTTGCTTACCATTCCTAGACCCTGCTGCATCATCCTTGGTCTTTGCATCTTGTGCTCCTTGCTTTTTCGTGGTTTTTCTTCTTCTTTTTTTTTTTTTTTTTTTTTTTTTTTTC